TACAACCAACAGTAGAATAATTACTTTAATCATATACAAACCTCACGAATCTCTAATGGATGACTAAAGTGGATGATCGATAGGCATGGATGAGCTTGGTGGATTCACGTGCCAGTGGCGCCAGCCAGAGTGCTGGCAGGGTGCGGTGCTTCACGTGGGAGCTCAGGCATAGGCTTATAAGGCTTATAAGTATATATATATATATAGGCCGACCTATCAGACTTATAAGGTTTTTTAATAAGCTAAGCTGGCCTGTTTAATTTAATAGGTTTTTAAAAAAATCCGAGCCTAACATTTTTATTAAATAGACACTCCATGCCAGATTTTATGTAGTTCAGGTCGTAGGCCTCCTTAGAATTAAATAAATAAAATTGATTATAGAAGCCCAAACAATTATCCTCCGGCCCAACTCTCCACGGAAAAAAGTCGCAAAGTTAAAAGGAAAGTGGGAGTGACAAAGTGAAGGACAATGTTTGATGGATAAGTTGTACCTTCCAGTTCGATGGAGAGGGTTTCCAAAGGAGCATTGGCTCAACGTAAACTCTTTAATAACAATGGTGGCCACTGGTTAGAGCAAAGCATCAAATCATTTGAATTTGCTTTTCAATGGTGACCAAGGTTCAACTACTAGGATGAAACATATAGCCATAAACAACAAAATTATTGGATGTTATTTTCGTTATCTAATTATGTCAAGAAAGTAAAGATTGCATATGGACTATGAATGATAAGTGGAAGAGTCGGAATATACCTGCGAATGTAGGATACTTGCGTGGTAAGAAAACAATCCTAACTATAAAAATGGAAGTTTGTATGTTTTCCTTTGTTAATGTATGTAATCACATGACAATAAAAAGAAGGGGGAAACCCCAGCAACCTGCTGCAAATTAGCCTCTAGTGGAGCGAATTTTCTATGTTGTATTTGGAAATTGAAACAATTATACTGAAATCTTCACCTGTCTTTTGCTTAAACTGATATTGCTGAAATAGGGGTCTTCTTAGTCCAATGGATACACCTCATTCCATGACTGTAAATACTCCATTTTCAAACCCATAAATGACGTAGTCCGGGATTCTCAGTTTTCTAAGCTCTCCCATCTCGTCCGCAAGCTCAAAATTGATTTAATTATAGGCTCCTGCAGATGCAGTAATAGTTCGCAATAATTATACGCACCCCGCGAACATAACAAAGTAGCAGATGGACTGGCACAAATGGCATGGAAACTTCCATTCGGCACTCATTCGTTCCCAGAACCGCCAGTAGAGATACTTCCAAATTCCAATGTTGCATGAAGATCACTATAATGTGCCAATGGCCGAGCAGTAGCTTTAAGTATTAGGATAGTTAGGTTTCGTATAGCATTATTTCTCGTTTTCATTAAAAAAAAATGTCAAATAAGATTCTTTTCTCCTTGATGGCCTACAAAACTGCGGCCAATCCTCTGGAGGAAAACCACACAGACAACGACAGTGCTAAGAAGTGAGTCATGACTATAATGAAAGCTGTAAACTCAACAAACATTAATTAAATACTTGCCAATTGGAGAGCCTAATCCCATATTTAAATACGCCCCCAGTCTTTCCTTTTCAAAACTGGCGTGTCTGACTCACAAACCCCACAAATTTCCTCACCAACACATCATATTGCCTTTTTAAAAAAAAATCGGAATCTCCAAAATGCTTTCTGCATCCAAGATCATATCATTGCGGGCAATAAATCTAATTATCTGCGGTCATAGTGATTCTTTACATTTTGATCTCTATAACACTGCTCGAGAACCATGAACATCTACAACGAAGAGTACGGGCTACTCCAACATAAAGTAGATGTTCACTATTATAGATAAGATTCTATTGGACGTAAGTCAATAATCTGGACGTGCAAAATTTTCAGAGTCACTCATCTTACTTCTTAGGATGTCAAGCCCATCTTCAGGCCTCTATCAGTTTAGTATATTACATGTTTCAGCTACACCATCTTTTCCCTTGCTGACTGCATTAAACCAGGATGATAAACATTCATGTCATTCAGGATATAAAACATTGAGTTCTAGATTATAATGAAGATTTCACTGCTAAAATGAATGGATCTATGAAGAATATCGCAAGTGTGACGACTTAAAAACCTAGACCGGGTAGCAAGCATAAATGTTCATCATCATAGTCTTCTTCACAGAGCAGTACTTGGTGATAGGATCCCATAAAAGCATCTTGTACACCCAAAAGCATGGATTTCCATGCCCACACAAATCTTACGATCTGCTGCCGCCGAATTCATATATCTAAACCTAGGGATGGAAGTGTTGGGATGCGGTCCTACATTTCAAATTCTCATATAGTTTAGTTATTTTTTTTATATTTTCTATTGATAATTTAATTTCACACCCCCTCAAATTTTATAATTTCACACCCTTAAAATTTTAATATAGCTTCTTAAGTTCTCACCATGACATTAACAGAAACATCGAACTTGCCTCATGGACAGCTGTGATTCTTCTTTCGGGCATTATTAAGTTGGATTTTACCTGTTTCTTCCACATGCATGAGAAGCTTCTTGCGTGACACTTCTGCAATATGAGACACAGCAGGCATTCAAAATACACAATAATCATAATACAGCAGGAACATAATTCCGTATCTATACATCGAACCCTAATTTCGAAAGAATTGTCAGAGAAAAGGTGAATTTGTGTTGCATGGATACACTAGCATCGCTTGCTTTTCGCCATATATCAACAATCATGTTTCTCAGAGAAAATAGGATCTCACACATGCCTTTTAGTAAAACCATGTGCGTTCTTGATCAAGAGAACGAGGAAGATGGGTGAATATCACAACTAACTTCATGTTAATAGCATGCCTCTGAGACAAGTTTGCATGTGATGTTCAGTCAATACAAACACCAAGGCTAAATGTAGCTCATTGTGCCAGATTAGTGAACTAAAGTAGAAGGCACTTGAGACTTAATCTGTAACATCGTAATTGAAAAAATAATACGTATATCAACTTCTTTCTAGTAGCTGAGTCCATTTTGCGTTTAAATGTTTCTAAAGCCAAAGCAAGCAATGTAATTGTCCTGAAACATAACCAAAAAAAACTAAACTCAATCAAGATGTTCCACATAAGTAACAGCAGGTATTCCTTATCTTTGCTTAGATATTAATAAGGACCTTGTCAATTCATCTTCTTGGTCCTCTTCCAAGGATTCCTGGAACCAATAACTTTCTCCAGTTCCTGCCCCTTCGGTAGAAAAACAGAGAAGAAACATCTTTAGAAAAAAATTGATAGGAGGATAAGAAGAAAACTAGATGTTGAATTGTTAAGAGAAGTTATGCCTTTTAGGGAGGGTGATGTGTGATTGAATTCACTAAGTTTGACATCTTCATTTCGAAACCGTTTGATTGGAAATGCTCAATATTTGGTTTCTCAGAAATAACAGTCTCCGGTGAGATCAGATTTTCTCTGTGACCTTTAAAAAGTCATCAGATAAAGAACCAAAGGAACATCCATTAAGAAGTAAAATTTAAAGATCAGGAAAGATGAAATTAAGAAGAACCCAATACACACTAGGTTGGCATGCAAATCGAGGAACACAGCCAAGTAGACTAATAAAACTTGGAACAACAGGCTCACGTGACAAATTACCAAGCATTCTTCCCCAAAGGAAAAAGTTACCATGAATTTCATAGTTACATCATTCATGGCACAAAATTAGAATAGCTAACAGCAATCCCAAGGGTGTGGTGGTTTTAAGATAAGATTTTTGCTCAGAACAATTTCCCTAAAGAGAATACAAACTGTTCGATCATAAAGCAATAAGCAGAGGGTGCGAGAGACCAAAATTAAACTGCAACTTTCCAATCTTTCTACTTCTGGAAAATAATTGATAATAAATCAGTCAGCAGTAATAAAATTCAGCAGTAATAAATCATTTTATGAATGTTGTTAATATCTAGCATATAAGGTCCACTCCTTTATGTTGCTCCGTCTAAGATGCTAAATTATCAAAAAGGAAGTTAGTATGACTGTGTCGTTATGCTCGCATTTATATGTGTGTGTGTTTTAATTTTTGCATTCTGAATGGCGTATATACTTCTACCAAATTTGATAGAGAGCACAATTGTCCTCATTTGGACTGCTGAATTGTCCATCTTTTATGTGGTGTTCCAGCACTCTGAATCATTGAAGATATTCAGCCTTGTGCAAGTCCAGTTTCTTTAGAAATGTTCCATGTATGATCTTTGATTTTGTCTGTGGATCTCTAAGACTTTCCCGGTATATCAGTAATGTGCATTCATACCTTTTTTCTTTTAAAAAAAACTTTTACCAACAATGAATTCGAAAGGATCCTTTTGCTTTGGGTGTATGGCCACAAGCCATTTCACAGTTCTTGGTTTGTCATCCTTGATACTGCAAAAACTGCTCTCAGGGATTCTGGGTTCCATGGCTGTTTCTTGGGGGGAAACTATGTATCTGGTGTGGCATTAGGACGATGCGTGGAAGGCGCTTATGAGGTTGCAGCTGAAGGGAAGGAATTCCTGTCACAGTATGCATACAATTAATATCAGAATTTAACCCGTCAGGCTGCAAATGTAGAAATCTAACGTAACTGACTTATCACTGCAGAATCTCGCAGTAAATAGAAAAATGGTTGGGGTATTTGGCCAAATCTCAGTGGGTTTATAGATCCAAATTTGAAGGAGTTTAGGTGCAAACTACAAATATAACGTTGCAAAAACTTTAGTGCGTGCTATGTCGCACACAAAAGATCGGCTGCGGCTGGACCAAATAAATTGGCTGATTCCAAAGTCATTGTCAGCTTATGCTTTGACCTTTTACTCTTATAATAATGTAACATTAATGCGGTCCGTATTTGGCTGCATGTTTGAGCAACGGGAATTAAGATAAGATCTTAGACTATTCTAATCACCCAGAATCAAGCCTTTTGCAAAACAAAACAGAAAATTCCCCTTCCGGAAAACATCCTTATTATTATAGAAATTACAATTGCATCACAAGATTCACTACAGACAAGCAATTCCTTGTTTTATTCAAATAACAAGAAAACGAAGTTAAGAAAACGGCCTTTGATTCGAGCAGTCTAGGTTAGGTCCTGTATCAACGTTAAACAGCTGAGCATATCTCTGAAAGTATCCAATTCTATCGTTTACACGTCCATCGTTGGGTATTCCACACTCCAGTCCACCGTTGATTATGTTGGTTACCAATCCATATCCCGCCGTCCGATTAGCCGCCAGGTCGGCTGCTGTCGGGACGTATTTACCCACCATGACATCGTGGCAAGACGGCTTCGGCGCCTGCACCGTCATCCAGAACCAAAGCGCGGTTTTGTATGCGATCAACGAGTTGTTGGCTACTATTTCCGGATTCCTTAACCCATCAAAACCTAGTGCCCTCCCAGCTGGTCCATAATTGTAATTCCTGTTAACAAAAAAAAACATGAACCTATTCAGTTAAAGCAATACAAAAAAAGAATGTAATAATGATATTACTGCTATTACCATGATAGTTGAATGGGACCTCTTCCATGGTAGGATTTTCCAGGGAAGCAAGGCCACCGTGTGTTGGTAGAATCACAGTAGTTGCTTTGAGGATTGATTTCCTCTTTGAAGCACAAACCCCAAGCGAATGGGCCGTCGGGTGCGGTGGCCCATCCGCCGGTGGTCTCGTGAGATATTTGAGCTAGAAAAGCCGCGATTTCGCGCTTCCTGCTAGCCAAATTCCCCGTGTTACCGAACTCCGGGAAGCAGCTCGCGGCTTGAATGAAAGAGCTGTAATTGTAGAAGTTTCTTGCAGGGCATGCATTATCATCCTTGTGTAGAAATATGGAATTATAGAGATTTTCGGTGATCAAAGACGAGATGGACGAGCGCCTTCGAGCCTCGACTCCAGTGGATCCGAAGAATAGAATAGTAAAGCACAAGATTAATGACAAGGGAAGAAGAGAAGAGGAATCCATAATGGTTGTGTGTTTAAAAAACATGATGGCTGCTGTTATTTATAATGCCACTACACGTCCATGTGAACTTGCGGACAATGTGGCGGGAGTTATTATACCACATTAACAACCTATAAACCTAGCCACCCATACCGAGTCTTTTGACTTCTATAAACATTTTTTCTAAAGGTATAATATCAACTTTAGCCTCAATATTTATATCTTCTATCAATTTGATTTTTATTTTCTTTAAGTTAAATTTAACCCTCAATAGGTCAATTTATTTATTTTAAGAGAAATATTGATTCAATATTAAGTTATTCATAGTTTTGACCTACAGTAGTTATAACAAATTAACAATCCATGGATAATTCATATTAATATAACAAGATTTATTTTATATATCACGTCTATAAATAATTATAATTTTTTTATAAAATAATATAAAATATATGTAAACTACATATGTAATATTAACGAAACTTACCTTGAATTAATCCGGTAAAAATAATATAAATATTGAAGATAAAATATACCATTATACCTGACCAATGGAGATTGAGAGAATTTCATTATTTGACTAGTCAATGTCAATCCATTTGAGGCAGTCAGTGTAATCTGCAAAGAGTTGACCACGGCACTTTGAGAAATCGATTTGGTGCAACCAATTGTTCCTCAAATCTCATAAATGGTGGAAATGTAGAGACAGCGCATACGCTGACTTTCAGGTTGAGCGTGCAGTGCAAAGGACTGCCACTGCCATTGCCAGCATTTAAATTGAATTTATTCTTTTCTTTAATTTTTATGTAAATCTTTCTTACTATAAACTTGCCAGTCTTTAAATGAACTACCGGCGTTTCTAGCCATGAGTTTGTTCAAAATGTTAGATATTGATCTAAAGCTGGAAACGTTGATAATTTAGTTTATAATGGAATTAAAAGATACATGTACTTGTGCTTAATTGTAGTTAATGGGATGGGTGGACTTTGTCAATTGTATTAAGAGTTGCAAAGGTCATTTGTTTTGACTTGGTGATCGAATCAAAATGATTTTAAAAATAATCTGGTGAAAGTTGACCTGCTAAATGGCCAAAAATGGTGGAATTACTCGGTCGTTAATGATATGAGAGTATAATTTAAATATTATAAAGTGGCCAATCAACGGCGGCCGGCTTGGGAGTAAGTATAGGCAAAACATAAAAACAACAAATAAACAGTCTTGAATAAAAAAACATAAATATTATAAAGCAGTGAAAAAGAGTTTTATTCTTTTAAAATATTTGGGTTTGAGTAGTTAGAGGATATGTGTGTATTATTAATTATTATTATTTTTAAATATATATTATCTTATATTCATTTCATACTATTAAAAAAACTTTTTCTTTATTTTCATGAGAATAAGTACATGTTTTCATAATTAAATTTGAGTTGTCAAAATATGATATTGATGAGACGCACGTTATTATTAATCCAACACGTTGTGAATTAAAACTTAAGCCGTCCATCGTGTCTTATAGTAAATTTTACTCGTATCAAATTTCAAAGCAAGTGTATCATTTCGTCTTCAAAGAATGCAGAAGCTTATAAGCAATTAAAGCATTGTAAAATCTTAAGCCTACATACCATAACTTTAGCAATGATTTTATAAAGAACGGTACATAAACTTACGACAAGAAATTGATACATATGCATGGTCGTTCTGATATTAGGAATTAGTACAATGTTTGTCTTGTTAATGCCCTTCAAATCCAACTCTGTATTCAACACAGAGAGACAAAAAGTAGTAATTTCTCTCCTTATAATGTGCCAATATTTTTGGTGAAATAGAGTTTGAAAACCATCAAACCTTGAAGTCTAACGTTCATAAAATTTGATGCTCGATATGATAGATTTTTTGTCCAAAGACGATCGATGATCAATCATTCTAATAACAATAATCAAATTTAAATATCTTGATTTAGTCCTATGATGTTCGATTATTTAAATTTAATATTATAAATAGATGTAGTGCTTGCTCTTTCAGGATCACCACAGCTCCCACAGTCTTGCACCACTTTCTCCACTAACTAGCTATGCACATATATTCATGGGTACATCTCTTTTACGATCATATGACCTTGACCTACAGTTTTCAGAGGTTGCATGATACATAAACAAAGACATAGGTCTAGCATGTCGTTTTCATAGTATTCTCACTTCCGAACCTTCTCCACATATCATTCCAAAGCATGGAAAGTGACTTTCCCATTCATAAAAAGGAAACAAGTTTCCATGAAACAGGCTTGGATAAACCACAATCACGATAAGGCAACTTGAGCAATAACGCATTATATGTAAATATTTCTGTGATTCTCTTTGCATTGAGCTTTTTGAATAACTTGCTTTTAGGTAATATACCAAAATTTATAACGAGACAAAGAAAGAGGAGGAGAGGGGGGGGGGAACTGCCTTTGAAAGACATGCTTCATTTTTCTATAAAATCACTCACTTATTTGTTACTGCAAACAAACTTGCAAGAAACAATCTCTCTAACAAATCGATAACCACATAGGCTACTCCAGTAGAAATGGCAAGAATCAAATTTCGAAATAAAAAAAAAATGTCACGGTAAAGAACATATGCTTTGATTACTTGAACCATGCAAATGAGTTGATAGATGGTAACAATCTGAATAATGCTTGGGGTAGATGCTTTCATTTAGAGGTTCACAAGTTTCTGGGGAAACCGAGGCAGAGAACCCTTGAATGTACGAGCAGTTCCACGGAGACTTCAAGGTTACATCGAGAGTAATATTCAATAAGCAAAGATTGCGAAAATTGTTCCCTTCTATGCCGTGGAGGAGACCTGCAACTTTTATGTTATCTCATTTGACATCTTTAACAGTGATCCTTTCAATTACAGGGAGAGCATTTGGATCATAAAACTCATCTGGATGCTCCGAAAAGTCGCTATTGAACCTTATAGCCGTGTCTACACAGGCCAAGGTAACATCTGATATATAGATATTTCTCACATAACCACCCATTCCAGGAGCAGTCTTTATTATGATAGCTGTGCTTGAATCGAAAAAAATAGAGGTTTCCTGCATGAACTTCAGAAACACCTCCGGACATCTCACTTCCAATTGCAATCCCAGAGCCGTTTCGATTATGACCAGTGAGCCGGCGGATGAAAATATTTGTGCTGGGGCGAGCAAATGAAATTCCGTACAGATCCCACCCACTTTTGATGGCAATTAGATCATCCCCGGTGCTATATAACACTCTTCAATGCACACATCATCAGAAGAATCTGTGTATTCAACCATATCAGTAGAACAAAGTGAGACGGTTCAAACAGAATTTCCAGTTTAGCATAAAGAATTCACCAGGATCGATCCCATCCGTGTTAGTTGAATTCAGAGGAGCCAGAATTGTGACATTCTGGACTGTGACACGGCTGTGCATTGAGAAAATAAAAGTCAGAACCTCATTGCAAGATTTGAAGAGCATGCTAATATTATAATGAGGGACCACTAACCTGCAGTATACTGGATGGATGGTCCAAAATGGAGAATTCAAGAAATTCAAGTTTGAGATTACAACCCCAGACGAGTTCATCAAATCAACCAGATGGGGCCTGGTAGAGTTCAGAGTTTTACTTCTAAACCAGTTCCACCAAACAATGCCTTGGCCATCGATAGTTCCGTTGTCACCTGCATGGAGAAGCTCTGTGTTGAATACTGAAAATGGAGATATTATTGATTACTCATCACTCATATACAACATGCTTATATATAGCATAAGTGTTCAAGTAATTAGCTCTAACAGAAGCTGTTAAGCCTAACAAATTCATAACAGTTTCATAACAGCATAACAGATCAGCATAACAGATTATTAACCAGCTCAGCACTAGCTAACTTCTACACAACGCAAGCTTCTCATGCAATACGCCACACCCTCTAATATTCTCCCTACTTCTTCTCTTCTGTTGAATAACATTGCTGCACACACATTTTGGTTTTGAATTCTTCGAACATAGCCTTAGACAAAGGTTTTGTGAGCCCATCAGCTGCCTGATGCATGGCAGGAACATAGTTAACACAGAGTTGGCCAGCTGTCACCTTCTCTCGAACAAAATGTATATCAAGCTCAACATGCTTCGATTGAGCATGGTACACCAGATTAGCACTCATGGCTACTGTGCTTGTGTTATCACACCAGACAATGGGCATACAGCTTTGCTTAACACCAAGATCATCCAACAGAGCAGTGAGTCATGTGACATCTGCAGTGGCATTTGCAACACTCTTGTAATCAGCTTTCATAGTGGATCGAGAGACTGTTTTTTGTTTCTTAGATGACCATGTAATCAAGCACGGCTCTAAGAATACTCTAAACCCTGAAATAGACCGGCGATCATCAACATTGGAGCCCCAATTTGCATCAGCAAATGCAACAACGTCTAAACTTTCAGCAGAAGGAGAAAATACCAAACCAAAATTTAAGGTAGCAGCCAAGTATCTAAGTATACACTTAAATGCTATAAAATGCACATCTCTAGGAGAGTTCATAAATTGAGCAACTTGCCCAACGCTGAAAGCGATGTCAGGTCTCGTGTGACAAACATATAGAAGCGAGCCAACAATACTGCGATATTCAGTTGCATTGTTGATCAACTCCCCCTCATCACGTGAGAGTTTGGTGGACATAATCATAGGTGTGCTGCAGCCAGCAGCATTTTTCATACCAGTTTTCTCTAAAAGCTCCTTAACAAATTTCCTCTGACTCAAGACAACATCCTGACCAGACTTTTTTACTTCAATTCCCAAGAAGTATCGTAACTCCCCTAGATCTTTCAGTGAAAACCTGTCCTTGAGCATGGCCACAACCTCTTCCACATCAGTTAACGTGCTTCCTGTAATAACAATATCATCCACGTACACAAGTACATATATGATACCTTGAGATGAACGTTTGAGGAACAAAGAGGGATCAACACGAGAGACCATAAACTCCATTTGTACCAGGTTTTGTTTTAATTTCACGTGCCAATTT